TGGGTATTAGTGGTACTTGGTACTTTTCCAGTGAGCATGTAGCCTGCCATCCTCTTGGCTGTGAATGCACCTCCTGTCCCAAGAACTTAGCTAGGAGTTGTGTCCCTCTGGTGCTGGGAGGCTGGCTTGGGAGCCTGGGCTCTTCCTTCCCTCCACCAGGAAACCTTGAGGTTGTCACAGTTCCCTCTCCTTAACGCCCAGCCCTTTCTCCCTGCTCGGGATGTGCCAGGGATCCCCTGCTCGGGATACCGTGTGGAAGGGACCTGGCTCCCTCTGCTGGGCTCTGCTCCCTGCAGAGAGGAGCTTGTGGGGACACTCACTCTGAGGGTTTTCAAAAACAGCTTTGGAGATGGCCGACTCCATGTCCTGAAGGCTGATCTCCTCACGATCCTTGTGTGCATGCCAGAGATCCAGGGTCATTTTCTTAATCTGTTCTCCTCCTGCATTGCTGCAAAAGAACAAGGTGCTTTTTTGATATATTCAAGTAGGGAATGCTGTCGGCCACTCCCTGGATGACATCCTGCCGTACCTCCAGGCCTTGCTGGAGGAGTTCATTGGTGACACATTGCTTTACGTGGTGGCGCTTCAGTGGGAGGAAGGGCACAACAAAATCAATGAGATGTTCATTAATGATCCCAGATTTCCAGAATCCACCTGCAAACCAAAGGAACAGAGAAAAGGTTTTACCTTCAGAGAGTTTTTGCAGACCTTGGAATTCAAAGAGCTGCTTTGTGGGAAGCCAGAATACTCAGCTGAAGACAGACCTGCTGCTTGTGTTGTATAAGGCAAGAGCTGTACCCATCTGTTGCTCCCCACTGCAAAACAGATTTGTTGTCCTCCAAGAATGGTGGGTTTTAGCCTGAGCAGACAGGCTTCAAGCTCCCCTCCCTGTGACAGAGAGGGCCTGGATCCTGCCTGGATAAGGGCAGAGCAAGGAGCTCTAGGTAGGCAGTGGGTATTAGTGGTACTTGGTACTTTTTCAGTGAGCATGTAGCCTGCCATCCTCCTGGCTGTGAATGCACCTCCCGTCCCAAGAACTTAGCTAGGTCTGGTGCTGGGAGGCTGGCTTGGGAGTTTGGGCTCTTCCTTCCCTCCACCAGGAAACCTTGAGGTTGTCACAGTTCCCTCTCCTCAACGCCCAGCCCTTTCTCCCTGCTCGGGATGTGCCAGGGATCCCCTGCTTGGGATACTGTGTGGAAGGGACCTGGCTCCCTCTGCTGGGCTCTGCTCCCTGCAGAGAGGAGCTTGTGGGGACACTCACTCTGAGGGTTTTCAAAAACAGCTTTGGAGATGGCCGACTCCATGTCCTGAAGGCTGATCTCCTCACGATCCTTGTGTGCATGCCAGAGATCCAGGGTCATTTTCTTAATCTGTTCTCCTCCTGCATTGCTGCAAAAGAACAAGGTGCTTTTTTGATATATTCAGGAAAACGGTGCTGCAGAACAGAGGCAGCATTTGACTTTCCCAACAGCCATGTGTGCACTCTAGGACCTCGCAGCTGCCTGGCCTAAAGCAACTCCTCTAAAGGCAGCCAAATAACAGGAGCTTTCAGACTCTCTTCCTTGTTTATTTACAGCAAAATAGGGTCAAGGCTTGGCAAAGGAGAAGCAAAACAGAAGCATGCACTGAAGTATGCACCAACCTCTGCACAAGTCAGAAGCTTCGTGCTGGGATACCCTGTGATGCTGCTGTGCTGGACACAGAGGGGCTTCTCTTACCTTATGAAAATGAAAATCGCTTTGCGGTAGTTGGTCCCGTAAACAACCCACGAGGGTCCCAGGAAGGGCATGATCACATCGATCAGCCCTGGGTGCATCTTGTCCATCTCGTCAAAGAGAAAAGCAGATCGCCCACAGGTTGTCAAGTTCCCTTGGATCCAGTGCTTCAGGTTCTCCTAGGAAAAATATCCAGCAAAGCATAAGGCACTGATGTACCTGAGGGCGAGGGAGGCTCAAACTACCGCAGAGCAGAAGCTGAAACAGAAGCTCAAGCTGAGCTGATGGTGCTGAAAACAGGAATGGCTGGGAGCAGCTTGTCCCGGCGTAGCACCACCTACTCAGAGCAGGAACAGCCAGGAGTGAGGAGGCCTCCTCTATTTTAGACTTGGCACGGTAACTGTTACCTGCTTTTGAGCCCATTATAGAGCTTTTATTACAGTTTTAAAGCAGTATGAAGGAGGCAGCGAACTAAAGTTGAGTATTGAGACTCCCACAGTTTTACATGTTCTTTTCTCCTTCCCTGTGTATCAGCTCTCGGCTACTGAGTGCTCCAGGGGAGCTTCCTGCCCATTCCCCTTCTGCTGCACAAACAGCAGCCTCCCCTGAAGCGGAAGAGCTGGGGCTCTGTGGTGGCTGAAGCTACTCCAGTCCAGATGCCAACCTGTGCATAAATATTCACGTTTCCTAGAGGCCTCTATCAGTCCCTAATTGAAGCACTTTCCTCAGTGTGAGGTTTACTGCACTCAATGTTTTTTTTCCTACAGATTCAGAAGAAAAATAAATTCTCTAAATGCCTAGGAAAAAAAAAATCTGAGGACACTGATTCCCTACTCTGTTAAGAATTCATCAGCCAATCTTCATGTTTGGATTTCTGGCCTCTCTCAGGATGGAGATTTGTTGGGAAGGGTCAGGAGTGTGGAGCTAGTACTGGATTTAGGAACCTACTCGCTGTGTGGGGAGGGAATTACAAAGTCTAGTGATGCCCAGGTATTCACAGCTACTGAGCTGTTTGGAAAGCGATAGGAAAACTTTAGATGAAAGCCAGTGCATGAAGCACGCTCATGCATATGTGTGTTCAAAGGGCTGTGTCAATATTTAAAGAGTGGGACCATGATCACAGGGAGGACTGTGGTGGGGAAGGTGGAAGTGATAACTGCGTGCCAGGAGGTATCACGGTTCCTAGTGAATCCTCCAGCCTGTTCACGGAGCCACTCGCTTCCCCGTGTCTGTCTGAGAGAGTAAAACACGGAGCTTTGTTCCTATTGCACTGCAGGAAAGAGGCTTAATGCATCTCCACTGATTACCAAGGCAGAGACAGCAAAAGAAAATTAAGTAGGACAGAGGCAGCCCTTACCTTGTACTGCTCCAGCTGCTCGTGGTGAGGGAAGTGTGCTAGGGGAGAGAACTGGTGCACGAAGGGGCTCCGCAGCCCGTCGCGGAAGAGGTGGCGGATGAGCATGGAGCTCACGTAGGTTTTGCCGGTCCCCGTGGTGCCGTGGAAGGACAGCACGAGGGGCTTCGTGGGGTTCTGCTGCTCCAGGAACTCCCTCACGGCTTTCATCACCTGCTGCTTCACCAGGGGCTGCCCCACCAGGTTCATGGCCAAATCACACTCCAGGCCTGGAAGAAAGCGGAGATTTAGAACACGCAGATTCAATACCCGTTACCTCGGCCTGTGGCCACGGTGATGGGGCTGTCGCTGGCTCCGAGGGCTTCCTTAGCGCCATCCCTGTGCGCCAGCCTGAGAGCTGCCTCGGGAAGGGGCAGGAAGGGCAACCGGCCCCGGGCGGAGGGCGATCCGCGGGCACCGACCCATGGGGCCCCCGGCAGTCACCAAGCCCTTCCGGGACCCTGTCCCGCTCCGGGCCTTGGATCCTTCTCCCGGAACCCC